AGATCTGGAGAGATTGTGGTGGTGGGTGGGTGGGGGCATAATGGGGAAGAAAAAAGGAGGGTTGGGCGGCTGAGTTGGAGGATATGAGAGGCCACCGCTAAGGGAGGGGGGCGCTAACGTGCGCCGGGGGAGGTGCGCGGGTGTTGGTTTCTTTAATGTGCGCGACCGCCCGAGTCGACGCCGCGTGGGCTTTGGGCGCGTCGTCTTTTTTTTCTTTCATTTGTTTTCTTTATTTCCTTTCCCTATTCACTCTATTTCCTTTTGTTTGTGCCCAAGGCCGCCCGGCCGGCGGACCAGTCAAACTCGTTGATCACGGGTTCGAGTCCGGACCGAATTTCCGAATGGTCGTGTCAGGGTCATCTATTGACCCAGCTCAACGGGCTTGGGCCGGCCGGGTTGATGACCTACTTTTTTATTTTATTTTTTATTTTTTACTATTGTCTTTTTTAAAAAATGACGGACTCGGCACGAACACGACTCAGCCCGATTAACCGGGCCATTCGGTCCATTGTTTTCGAGTCCGGCGACTCGACGGACGGCCCGACCCGAATTTGGCCATGTCTATGTGTAAATGTGATAAATGTTTTGAAAGTAAAATCCTTTATAAATAAAATGTTAAGATTAAAAAAAGTGATAAAGTAGAAATATGGATTGAATTGAATGAATATGTGAGTTTAAGTTAAAAACATAATTTAGTACAATTCTAAAAGCTTGAGTTTTGCAATATTGAAGTTTCTCAATTGAGGTCTTCTCCTATATTTTGGATGCAAATGTCGAAATTTTATACTATTTCCTATTTTTAATATATGTCGTTTTGAGAAGTTGCACGTTGATTAAGAATATTTTTTTTGTCAATAATAACTTTATTTAATGAAAATATATGTCGTTTTGAGAAGTTGCACGTTAATTAAGAATATTTTTTTGTTAATAATAACCTTAATTAATGAAGATAGAGATCAATGTTTTGAGAGAAAGTGAAGAGTTAATATAAAAAGACGTAATGTATTTATTAACTAAATGGGAGTAATAATGGAAAAATATGTAATAAAGATCTAAAACGATATTTATTTGACAAATAATTGATAAAGCTAGAATGTCATTTAAAAAAAAAAAGGAGTATTTTATATGATTTTGGGTGACTATAAATAATTCTCTCACTTATTGACGAGGGCATAAAAGTAATTAAAGTCTCAACCCCTTGACCAACCCAGCCAGTTTCGTTGAATTTTCACACTAGCATCATCCAATGATTTTTTTTTTTTATTTATTTTCTTTTTTTTTTTCTGTCATTTCAATAATTTTGTTTAATTTAATGTCATTGTTCATGATTTTAAGAATGAAAAGTTCCTTAAAACATTGAATAACATAAAATATCATCATACTTTTCAAATCTTGGTTACTCAAGAAAAGTGAATTCGCAGCGGCCAGCGGGGGTCGATTTGTCATACATTTTTTGATAAAAAAGTATATTTATACTAAGCATTATCATACTTTCATTTATATTGTTTTTGAATTATGACATTTTAATTTAAAATAAATGTATATTTCATTTAAAAAATATGAATGTCATGCTGCAAAACCCACCTAACAACATCGTGTTTAGTGGAATATTCACTTGTGAGTTGTCTCACATTCTTTATATAGAAAAAAAAAGTCTAATTTTTAAGTCTAATAGTTATTATTTCTTCCACCAATTGATTTTAGAATGGAACATGACTTTGGCTTCATCTAGATTTTCTCTGTTTTAGGTACGTTTCATCGGTGTTACCGCATCCATTTTTTTCCCGTTTCTTACAGTGTTCAATAAATTATCACATAAAAGCAGAGTTTTTTCATTCTCGTTTGCTTGTCAAAACATTGTGAACACAGAACAATATAACTGTCACCCAGAGAGTTCAAACAGCCATTGTTATTGACCTGATCAACAAAATATAAAATAAAATTAAAAGTCACAACAAAATAGAAACCAAATTTCAAAATTATTTGGCTGTTGACTTTTTTACAACACACAGCATATCCAAGAACAGTCTATTCCATTTTCCATCAATGACATATAAAAAACAAGCACAGCTCCATTAATCTTGAACTCTCAAACCAAATCATGGACAGAAGTCTAAGTGAAGCTGCTAAAAGAGGAGACCTCGAAAAACTCCACAGTCTCATAGAAAACGATCCTTTTCTATTACGTGCCGCGAATTTATCCGACGAAAACAACCCGTTACACTTAGCCTGCATCGGTGGCCACGTAGATTTCGTGAGAGGGATCGTGAGTCTATGCCCCGAGCTCGCCCGAGAACTTAACCGTGACGGTTTTACCCCTCTGCACATAGCCTCAGCAAGTGGTGCCATAGAAATTGTGAAGGAGCTGCTGAGTTTGAACTCAAACCTCTGTTTGGTCAAAGGAAAGGAAAAGAGAATCCCACTTCATTGTGCGGTTGTGAAAGGCAGAGTCGATGTTGTGAAAGAACTGATCTCTGTTTTTCCGGATTCGGTAAATGATGTTACCGCGCGCGGAGAATCTTGTTTCCACTTGGCTGTGAAGAATAATCAGTTTGAGGCCTTTAAGGTTCTTTGTTTGCAAAATGGGTGTGTTCCGAACGTGAAGGACGTGCAGGGGAACACGGTATTGCATCTCGCGGCTTATGGAAAGATTTACGAGGTGAGTCGAATGTGTTTTTTCGTTTTTGGTTTGGTTGTGTTTTTATTGTTTGATCTTTCGGTCGAGTACTTTATTAGGCTATGTTTGGTAATCAGAGAAGTCAGCTTATAGTTTATTTGGTTAGCTTATAAATTTCATGTATTCAAATAAGTTCCGTTTAGTAGGACGAGAGCTTATTTCATAAGCTTTTTTTAGTAACTTTTCAAATAAGCTTATGAAATTTTTATTAAATAATTTTATCATATAAGATAGTATTTCATCTGTGAGCTCAAAATTCACTTATTAAAAGCTATCAGCTAGGTTTACCAAATATAGCCTTGAAGTGTCTTCCTTTGTATACAAGTTTTCGACTTCTTGTTGGACTACATGAATGCGTTTGCCCGTTTGTGCATTTCATGTTTTCTTGTTTGATCTTTCAGTCGAGTCATTAGTTGGGTTTTACGAGATGTTCCTTCTCTTGTATAGGTTTTCGACCTCTTGTTCGACGATAACTCGGGCCACAAGGGAACTTTAGAAATTAACCCGTTGAACGAAAAGGGTATGACCCCACTCGATGTCCTAATATCCGAAGGCGGCGATCCAGATATCGAGCAAATTCTTAAACGGGCTGACGCAATTACGAGTCGAGAATCTAATGCCATTCGTCGAACTCTCCAAAACCCGTCACCAAACAATAATAATAATAATAACGACCAGAGAAGGCACCGGCGGTCCGTTTGTGCCTCCAAGAAGCTACAGGAATACTTCAAATACGACGTGGCCCGAGATTCTCCGAGCAAGGCCCGAGACACCCTCCTCGTCATATCTGTGCTAATCGTGACAGCCACATACCAGGCTGTCCTGAGCCCGCCTGGCGGCGTTTGGCAAGACGACTTCACGCCATCTGTCGGGTCAAACGGGACATCCCACACGGCGGGCCAGTCGGTTATGGGGACGCGGAGCCCGGTCAACTACGGTTTGTTCTTGCTTTTCAACTCGCTCGGGTTTTTCATGTCCCTGCACATGATGAACTTTCTCACGCTCGGGCTTCCCCTGCAGTTTGAGCTACGCGTGGCGCTTGGTGCAGTGATAGTTACTTACGACACGTGTATGGTGGCAATCACGCCAGATGGCGTGATCTCGGTTTTCTTCACGGTCGTGTCGATTGTGATGCCTTTGATGATGCCGGTGCTGACGATGCTAGCGAGGGATTTTCGGAAGGGGGGCACGAGATGCGAGGTCTCAGGTGGGAGAGTGAGTGTGTGAAAGAGATTGAAAAGGATTACTGGTTCTTGTTTGTGATTGTATTGTATATTTTTATGCTTAAGAAGGATTAATTTGAGTTTTTTCTAGTGTGTGTGTGTTATATGGTTCTGGGACATCATAAGTGAAGTATATTACTTGATCTTGTCACAAGTAGGGCTGCAATCAACCAAGCGGCTCGCGAGCGCTCGAGTCAAAGCTTAGCTCGAGCGGCTCACGACAGACTCGAGATATATAGTGAATTACTAAAATATCGCTTATATATAAATAATACAATATTTTATGTATGTTAATAGCAATTTTACTTGAAATTCGAGTCGAACTCGAGCAATCTGTCGAGCATCTTGATTTCAATTGATTTCGAGCCGAGCTCGAGCAATTGTCTTCTTTTGCAGAATCGATCTCGAGCTTCATAAATTGAGCTCGAGTGGGTAAAAAAAAAACAAAAATCAATCTTGTTCGATAAACCCAATGCTCGAGTTGTCTCAGCTCGTTTGCAGCCCTAGTCACAAGAACCTAAATAACATCTACAAAACATTAGCTATGGTATATTTGCATTGTTTGTTGTGTGTATGAGTGTATCTGTGTGTTTTTTTGTCCATGATTGCACATGTAAAATGTTCCATTGACAGAATCAGATACATATATGTCAAGTTGCACCACTTGTCTGATTGTCTTTACTGCTAAAAGATGAAAATAATCACCCTGTTTTTTAACAACAAAGGACACTTTACCACTTTAGTTTCTTTTTTACCACTTTATATGATCTTCATTTTCATGACTCTTTATTTAGTTGGCCCTCACACTACAGATATCAACAAGCAGGTTACATTCAAACTTGCAGTCACTTGGGTTTTTTTTTTTTTTACCATTGAACCAACGGTAGGAAAACCCGATTGACTGCACTGCAATCACTCGTAGGATCGAACCCTTCATCACAATCAAGTTTAGATGCAAGAAACATATACATGCTCTGTACACATTGCTAAACACACAAAAAGTTACAAGAAAACGAAGCGAGTAAAACGAGCTCAAACAGCGAGTTGTTATTGTTGTTGATTAGATGAATCTTCTTCATTCGAACACGAATACGGGTTTGATGAGTTTGATGTTGAAGCAGACAATAAAGAGGGCAATAACAATCCTTGTGAAATGTTAGTTTTTTCAGGTTGCAAAATCAGCATCTCTTTTTGTAGATGTGAACAGTATTTCTGAAAAGTTGATGGGCTCACATTCAAATTGAATCCCAATCCAAACAGAAAATCAACTTCAAGAAAATTCATCTCTGTTGTGCTGATCCCTCCAACCTTAGCATAGTATGCATTATTGTAGTACCTAAAATTAATACATTAGTTTATTGCATTAAAAAAAATAAAAAATTAAAACAAGAAAAATATATTTTGAATTATAATAAAACAGAATCTATTTAGGCCAATCTTGATTTAAAATGAAAAAACAGGTTCAAAAGGGACAAAAACAGAAACCCAAGAAATAAAAAAAAAAAAATAAAAAATTAAGATTTACTAACATGTCATCCATGAATTTAGCAGAAACCATAACACTTGTAATGATCAGCCTGTGAACATTGAAGAAATTTATCGGAAAGCCCGGTTGGCACCGTGTGAACCGGTCCAAATAGACATAGGCCACAATGTAGCAAGAATGGCTGCAATTGGCATACTTGAAAATCCTCTGCAAATAGCTCTGTATTGAGATGGT